AAAAAAAAATAGGAATATTGGAGACAATACTCATGTAAATAAACGATGGTAAAGTTGCTTTTTTCCCTTACTAATTGTCTAATCTTAGGTATCTGAAATAATAGCCTTTCAATGAAGTCCATAGATTTGGAAACAACAGTTAATACCACCCAACAGAAGAGAAAAGTTCTAAGAACCAGACATAAGACCTGGTGAAAAATTTTCAACAGATGTGTAATATAAATAAAAACCTTTCTATCATATCATAAGGCAACCAACTACTCACCTCTGTATACTTTCACGATATCTAGAATTAGTAGCACCTTATATATGGTCATCATTTAATAATTTCTATAACCAGACTGAAAAGTTTCAAGGCCTTATGTATTAGTTTATAGTGTGTTTGCGAGTAAACACACAGAGTTTACCTTTTTGCTACGAGCACCATCATTTTGGTGTGTTAAAAAGACAAATGAAATTATGTGATTGAAAACAATTATGTTGTTACTCATAAATATCAAAAATAAGTTTGTTCATTGCTAATGGGCAGTCATATACAATAAATTCAACATCCCATTCTAATTACAAATGAAGTCCCAGAAATTTGATTTAGTCTTTTCTATCAGTTATTACATTACTCCTAAAGAAATAACTTGCTGTGGAACAGTTTTAAAATAGATCAGTGAGAAATTAGCTAAATCCAATAGAAGTTGGATATTCTGAACTTGAAAGCATTTGTTTTAAATATTCACATAATATTCCTTGACAAGTCACCTCATTATGTGCCTTGACAACTTTCCCATACCATTTTGTGTTGCATTGGCATACAAAAGAGAACTTTGCTGAGCTGTTAGGGCAAACTGCTCTGGAGGGTGAAGTGCATGACTGTATATGGTAAACAGTATCATATAACTCATATACAAGTGCTTTAATGGTTTCCTTTTATGGTTTTTCAGATTGAACTTTCAAGGACAATTGTAAATGGCTTTTTAAAAAACTTTGCAGTTGAGTAAAATTAGTCTTAAAATAGTGAACACCCACCTGCCCACACAATTTTCATTTTAACTTTTAAGGTAATTTGCTGATTGCTCATTAGATGTTTTTACAGTTTTGTTTGTGGGACATCTACTTTAGATCCCTTGGAAGTATTAAAAACAAGATTTCTTGGTTTCTCTCTCATCATGCTCAGTCAGAATCTGCAGGAAAACCTAGGAATTCTCACTTTAAATAAGCTCTCCAGGTAAATTACACACTGTCAAGCTTAAGAACTTCAGAACATATATCTTGTAAGATAAGACAATAACTGGAACAATTTCTGCTTTTGAGAGTTTGTTGCTATCATTTGTTTGGACCTCGTCCTTCAGCTTCTAGCCTATGGAGGCTTGGTATTTATTTGTACTTCAGGTGGTAGTCTGAATATTTATATATACTTATATTTACCTTCCAAACCAAAAGTTCTTCGATATACCTACTCTGCAACAATTAGTATCCTATCTTTATGAAAACAAAAACCTCTCCAGGCCTTTTTCTTCATTTGTAAACAAAGAGGTTGGATTAGGAGTTTACCATAAGATCTGTCTGACATAGAACTCTATGAAAGTTGCTTAGCAATTATCCATTTTTAATTTCCTTCTCCATCAGCACAATTCACGAAGAAGCTAAATTGAGTGCCCATGAAATCGTAGCACCTAATAGAAGTGCAAAGAATTGTGTGAAACTTGAGTGCTAAGAAAATAAGCCTAGCAAATGTTTAAAACAATTTGAAACAGTACTATATACCGATGGTTTTCAAACATGTCTACATTAGAATCATTCTGGGAGCTTTTAAATATCCAGATGCCCAGGTTATACCCCCATTAGAAACTCAGGGTCAAGTTTCAAGCATAGTATTTTAAAACATTTCCTGGAAAGACCAATATATAACCAAGTTTGAAAGCCACTCATATATAGTAGTTTCACTTAATATTACTAGACATTTTTAAATTTGCATGTATTATTTATATGGGATGGGTTTCATTATGACATTTCCATATATGTATACAAAGTGAAATATGGCATGTTTTTGCTCATTTGTGTAATCTAGACATAAAAAGATCCATATATATACATAAATATTAAATGACTGTAAATTTGGGACTGCTTGGGGAATAAGTTGAAGAGAGATAGGGAAAGAACATGATGGAAATGAATGACATTGGAATGCACTATGTATGCATGGCAAATAGAACCTCATCGAAAGCTGTTGTATAATTGAGAGAAGAAGGAACTGGGAAAGATAAAAAAAATAGAGAAGGTTAGTTTGAAAAAGTATTATACATATACACATGTGAAACACATCATGGTGAAAACCCCTTTGAACAATTAATGTACAATAAAAAAGGGAAAAGATGGTAGGAAAACAGGCTCTGTGGGAGGGCAGATATCAGTAGGAGGGAGGAGGGCCAATGAAGAGGATGAATATGGTTGAAGTACTTTATATGTACATATGAATCTACATTTTTGATTACTTAAGCTTGATATCCAGTATATGAATAAAGATATTTGCTACACTTAAATCAGTGCTCTGACTGAATAAAAATTATGAATTTTAATATTACCTTCAAAATTTCTGTTGAATAGATCTACCTCTCTTAGTGTTGTCACCTAGTTGGTATCATTGTTTTCAGATTTGCTTTTTGCATGAGTAGGATATCTTTAACTTCTGTTCAAAGACAAAATAACAGTGGCTTTAATAAGACATAAGTTTAGTTTTTCATAAAGTCAAAATAGAGTAAAAATACCAAGCTAGTAAGGCAGCTCCATATGAACAGAGATTTAAGCTCCTACTAGCTGATGGCTCTATCATGCCTAGGGTGTTTCTTTTCTCTGTGTAACCTAAGGCATCTAAGCACAATATGCACAATGGAGCTAGTAGAAAGCAGAAGGAAGAAGAAAGGTACATTCTCTCCTAATTTCTGTGGGAATGGTTCCAAAACTGCTTTTGTACATATCACATATGCTTACTCTCATTAGTCAGAACTTTGTTATTATGTCATACCTAGATACAAATGAAGCAAGAGAAAATATTTATTCTAGACAGCAATGTGTCCAACTAAAAAACTGAGAAATATATTACTGCTGAAGAGAACAGGCATTGGGGAAACTAGCAGTCCCTGACAAAATCTTTATAATTTACTCTCCAACAGTGATCATTGTAAAATATGAATGGAATCAGGACACAAATCACTAAGTATCTCCCCTGTGCTCTAAATACACAAATTAAAGTCCCTACTATGTCTGAGCATCAATGGCTCACACCTGTAATTCTACCTACTTGAGAGGATGAGCTAGGGAAGATTGTCCAGGCTAGTCCAGGCAAAAAGATCTGTCTCAGTCTCAATACAGGGAAGCTGGATGTGGTGGCTGTGATTGCAGCTCAGGTGTTGAGTAGGAAGCAAGAAATGTGTGTGTGTGTGTGTGTTTGTGTGTGTGAATAGCTTCACATATGCCTACATTCCATTTAATAAACAAATGTCTTCAAACTCACATGGAAAAGTCATCTTGGATCAACAAACTATATATAGAACGGCACCTCAAAATGGAAGAGACAATTTGATGCATTCAAAATGAGACCAAAAACATTATTACATATTAACTTTATTAATACACTTAAATAGTAATACAAGAAAGGTTCACAAATTTAACACGTAAACAGTTCCAAAGAATAGAAGATTCTACAAGTTTATGGAAAAACTTCAGTATACTTTGGAGTTCAGAGGCTGCTGTGTACATCAAAGTGTATAGAATATGAAGTGATGAATTACAGGGCTATACAAGGAATGCCCATAAGTTTAGTAGCTTAACCACATTCAGAAAAACTAAAATTGGTTGTTGTTTTCACTCATCTAACAAACCACGTAGGTGTCAACCACAGGAGATGCAAGCAAAGAGGGCATTTACACTTAAGAAACAAAAAACAAGATTGAAATAAGTTCCATTAGATACTGTTTTTCTACTTTCAATATGACCACTTGTGATACTAATATTAGATAAAACTTCACTGTCTTAACCCCTATTACATATGCCAAAAACTACAAATTAGTACAGCAAGTATTGACATACTGTGACCTCTGGATTTAACATCACACACTCATCAAAATATTTAGAAATTCAAAGTATATTAAATAACAATACAGAGTGGAAAAATGTTAAGACACTTTACAACTGAATAAATTTCAAGATGAGGCAGGGACCATTATAGTTCACATGTGTTTTTGGAAATAGTGGAATCTATTTTGGTGGTAGGAAATGCAGGTTGGCCACTTTAGAGGAATAAGAATTTAATTTTCAAACTGTTAATTCAAAATTTGCAATTATATGTGATTCAAATTGTAAGGATCCAAAATATCTATAAAATCTCTTGTAAGTTGGGGTAACTTATACTGAGATTTTAGAACAAGTCACCTCACAAAAGTAACATTGAACATAAATTACTGCAAGTCAAGATAGTAATTTTGTAGAAGTCAACTTTTGGCTCAAAACTTATTTTGATGACTTTTTCAGTAATGAATCCAATATAAATTATTTTGATCCAAATATGGGATGAACACATAAAACCAGCCAGTTCCCTTTAGAACTTATGTAATGCTGAAATTATCAACAAAAATATTTATACTCTGTAATACTATCATTTGTCACTTTTTAAGGCATATTTTTTGGAGAATAAATTTTCTGCAAACAGACTTCTACTTTATTGTTACCCAAATTACAGATATCTAAGATACCAATGATGTGGACTCTATCCAATTCAGCTGCTGCTTTTATAATATCACCTAAAAGTGAAAAAAAAGATGGTAAGTATTGTAAAATAGTTAAATATTTAGTTGGAGTTAGAATTACATAAGCTGATGGTTTTTTTCTTACAATAATAACAATGCCCTAAATCTTCTCCTTCTCTTCAATTTGCCATATGCATTGATCAAATGTACTATATAATCACTTCTCCAGATAAAGGTCAACATCTTACCCACATGCCACCAATAATGTTAAGACATGGTATTCCAAATACATTTATGTTTTTTTTTACCCTTTTTTACCTTTTGCTTTTGGTGAAGCAATATAAATACATAAACCTATGTATTTTTGAGGTCATGTATAAGGATTCAACTGAACAACTTATTACATATCAAAAAATGCAAAGGTAAGTGTTCCCATTGTGAAATTCAGTTATCATTTTTTTGTAAGATCTCTAAGTCAAAAAGCAAAACAATGTAGATCTACCTTCACATTATGTTAATTATCTGTATGTGCACATGTATGTGTATGCATAGAGATGTATGTGCAAGTAATTGAGGTTCTTCTAAAGTTTATTTCCTTTGAATTGGCTTTATCAACTAAGAGCTTACTCTGACAAAACTTTATGAAAATGGATCTGGTGAATGATATCACTGATCAAAGCTGAGCAGAGAATTCCAGGGCTCTCTGTCACTTCACAAAGCATATTTTATAAGCTGTCAAAACTCGCAGAATCAACGTTTGTCAAATTCTAGAATACAGAGAAAGACTTACAACAATCAGGGCAAAGACTGATAAAGGAAGAAATTTCTGCCTTGTTGAGAAAGTGTCATGGTGTTTTAAATTGCCTATCTACCTACCTTTACCCCTTAGATAATTGGCAGCTTATAATCCTGGTGGAAGTTGCTTGTAGTAAAGGTAGCAAATACAGATGTGGTTGGATGTGAGGATTTGTCTGATAGCTCCCTTGAGGACAGTTGCAAAGGCTTGCTTTTGCTTTAAGCAATTCAGCGCATTCTCACAGCTGGGGTGCCTCTTCCTCAAATGGCTTTTATTGAAAGTATATTGGCCAGAGAAGTTGAATAGGATAGAATTTTAGGGTAAGAAATTAATAAACTGAAAGTCCAGGGCAGGGAGGCTAGGAAAAAAGATATATAAGGGAACAAAGGCTTTAAAAAGCTCCTGTGTACACTTGGGAATCAAGATAGACATATGTAAGGCCAGGCACCTGTGGCTCATGCCTGTAAACACAGCTACTCAGGAGGCTGAGATCTGATGATCATGGTTCGAACCCAGCCCAGGTAATAAGCTACCAAAAACCTGGAAGTAGAGCTGTGGCTCAAATGGTAGAGTGTTAGCCTTTAGCAAAAGAAGCTCAAGGACAGCGCTCAGGTCCTCACTTCAAGGCCCAAGACCAGGCGCGCACGCGCACACACACACATACACAGACACAGACACACAGACACACACACAGACACACACACACACAGATGGCCATATGTATACACCCAGGGATTGCTATGTGCTTAGAGAGGCCTGAGAAAACTCTGATCATTCACCACTGGCTGACCATCAGGGTCTGAGTAAGCAGGAAGTGAAGGCTAAGGCAGAGTTATAAATAGCAAGACTAAGTGTTGAAAACATACTCTGATGAAGGTCTAACCTTCAAATTTTCTTTGCTTTCTTCATTTTCTTGGCTATCTATGTTTAATGAAACACTGTCAAAATACTAGACAACATTAGCTAACTACTAAGCTAATTGACCACAGATTTCAGTTACTACTCATGAAAAACACTTTATTCTAAATATGAGAAAAATGAAAGCACTTAGAGGTTATTAAGTAACAAGCAAAGTCATACGGTTCTAATCTAGATAGTATGAGGTGTCAAAGTCTAGAAGGAGAGCTACGTTCTATGGTGCCTGAAGGATATGCTAATTAGAAGCCTTTTATGAAAACAAAAGCTTCCTATGGAAGCTTGTTTTATTAGCTTCACAGTAAATTCTCCCCTGCTACATACACTAGACAAATCAAATGAATGATTTAAAATTGTACAAGTACAATAAAACCAAAAGAATATTAGAATGAATGCTGAAACTATCTAGTTTTCTTCTGCCTTGAATGGAGTATACTTTAATCCATTTATTTTAGAAAGATTTCAAGATCTTCAAAATTAGCAACAAACAAAATACTAACACTTCTAATTGTTATCATATTGACTCTTACAAATAATGTTTTACATACCACAACATAAAATCTAAGTCTTCATTTCATGTGACTGTGATTTACATACTACTTTGAGCAAATGATAAGCTCTGTAAATCTCAATTTATCGAATGCCTCCTTCATACAGTGTTTTGAGGATTAAATATATATGGATCTCTAGAATAGTGGCTAACTGATAACAAGCCATACACAAATATTAGCAGTGATCACTTTTACTTGACATATTTTACTTAATGAAATTAGAGTATTATTTCTATAACCAGTGTCTTTATAAAGGGCTACTCATTTTCCCTATAAAATGAGCTTTGGTACATTTTACTTTAAATTGCTAGAATTTCAAGAATTGTTTGCTTTTAGGAACATCAACAGCAGGCCACCTATAGGCTTCCACCTATAATCCTACCTACTCAAGAAGATGGGATTTGAGGACTCTGGTTCAGTCAGCCCAGGCAGAAAAGTTCACCAGACTCCATCTCCAATTAACCACACACACAAAGTATAAAGTAAATATAACAAAGTGAAGGAAGGGGTGACAGTATTAAAAAAGAATTGTAATCATTACCTGACATGTAACTGTAACCCCTCTGTATATCACTTTTACAGTAATGACTATATATATTTATATATACTTATCACGTTTACAGTAACGATTATATATATTTATATATATATACTTATATATTATATATATATATAAATTAGGGCACTAGAGTCCTCTTTTTTATATATAAAATTATACAACACACACACACACACACACACACACACACACAAAACATGAAGAGGACTCTGGTGTTCTGTTTCCTATTCGTGGTCACAGAGGAAGAAAAATTATCTTGGTCTCCGTGTAGCTGGATTGGTACCATGTAACTGAATTCTGTCAAATGAGAATATAAGTGGGGGTGATATGGCACTCTCGGTCCAAGGTCATTGAAAACTTATATCTTCTTCATCTCTTCATTCTGCTGCTTTGCAATCTTAGAAGCTATTTGCTCCTGCTGGGGCAGGATGCAAATTGCATTGCATTGCAGAGGGATGTACCATGCAATCCCAGAAAGAGAGCTGCTGACTCTGACACACTTTAGCAAGAAATAAACTTCTGAGTTTAACTCACTCTGATTTCAGAGTTGCTTTTTAACTATAGCATAGTCAAACGTATCTTGTCATATGGGGTGGTAATAATCCTGTCTCTGATAGCAATATGGGAAACCTTGATTACCTAGAGAATAAAATTGTTTTCCTAAATGTGTGACAATTCTTCCATATTATGCTATACTTTAAAAATATTTATCAGCGATATAGTAATGTAATACATTTTATATTATGTCTTCGTATCCTTTCAAAGTGGAAAAGGAAATGCATATCCTTATGTATTATAATTAAAGATGATAACGAAGGACTTCCTATTAGTAAGCATTATTCAATAAGCTATCTGGGATAAATGGCTAATCATATGGAGAAGGCTAGCATTTCAAATGGTGTAAAAGATATAAAAATGAAGCCATCGCAATAATATCTGGTCCCCCTAAATTTTAAAATAGGCACAAAGGACTTGAATCTTTTTCTAAGAAGATGTACAAATGAACAATAAACATATGAGAAGGTACTCCCCATCAATAGTAACTAGGAAATACAAAAGAAAACCACAATGCCATACCACCTCACACCCATCATTAAGAGGGGTGTTATTCAATTCGAAATGAAAGAACTTAAGTAGTATTGGTACCGGTAGTATTGCCGGTGGAGATGTAAAATAATGCAGATCAACAGCATGGCAGCATCTCAAAACCATTAAGCCTGAGATTCCCATGTTCCCCTTTAAGATAGTTCCAAAAGAATAGAAAGCTGTAACTCAGGTACTTGTAAACAAATGTTCATAGAAGAATTATGTACAAGAACCAAAATGTTGAAACAAAGGCTGGACATCATGGTAAATGCTTGTAACCCAAGGCTTGCCAGAGGCAGATATAGAAGGATCTTATTCTAAGGCTGGTGTGGGTGAAAAAGCAAAACTTTATCAAAATGATGAAAGCAAAAAAGGGCTGAGGGGTGTATACCAAGAGGTAGACTGCTTGCTTAGGAAACACTAGTCTCTAAATTCAATCCAATACCACTTAAAAATAAACACTAAAATAATAACAAAAAAACCAGGGCAGGTGCAGTGTTCACATCTGTAATTCCAGCAACTCAGGAGGTGGAAGTAGAAGGATCGCTACCAAAGGCCAGCCTTAGCAAAAGTGCAAGACTCTATCTAAGTAACAAAGCAAAAGCAAAAGGACTGGGCATATGGCTCAAGTGCAGAGTGCCTTCTTAGCAAACAGAAAGCTCTGAGTTCAATTTCTGGTACTGCAAAGTAAATAAACAAATAGAAATCAAGCCAAATTCCCATTAAGAAGTAAAATGAATGGATAAACAAAATCCATTATATACTACAATGGAATATCATTCAGATATAAAACTAATGAAATCTTGATATCTATTGCAACATAAGTGAACCCTGTCATTAGTGAATAAGCCAGATACAAATGTTACAATGATAAATTTTGTTAGATATATTTGGTAACAATAAACATGTGAGTAAAAATATTGAAAGTAGAAATAGTGAAGAAAACCTTATTCCTTTTTGAGTATAACAAAGAATGAGCAGTCACAAAATGAAAAAAATGATATATCTGAGCACATAAAAACAAAATGACAGCATATCAAAGCAAACCTCCCACTGAATAAAGGATAATCTTGGTGAAACTATTTGCAACATATCATAAAGGGTTAATTTTAAATAAACTTCTAGAAAATTCACAGAAATATAAATAACTGTGAGTAGTTAGGCCAGATATAGAGGCTCATAACTAATCTTAGTTATTTGGGAGGCAGAGTCTGGGAATACTGTAGTTAAAAGCCAACCTGAAAATAAATTAGTGAGAGATCCTACTTCAAGTAATAAAATTTGAGCATAGGAAGGACTTGGAAAAAATTATATTAAGTGAAGTAAGCCAGGCCCAAGGAAACATAGGTCCCATGGTTTCCCTTATTTTCAATAACTAGTATATGTCTGAGTCAAGCAGAAAAGGTCAGATAAGTTGATGTTAGGGGAATGAACCCCAAGATAAGTATTCAAATGTTTTTTTGTTTTTTTTCCTTTCATGCAATTATTTCTAACATATTTATAAGATGATTTCTATGTTGCTTTGTATTCCCTCCCCCACGGTATAACCCCTGCTTTCACCGTATTTGAGGTTGGTATAATTTGTGGAGGGGAAGGGAAAAAAACAAATCATTTAACTAGGGACACAGGTGGACCCATTGCAACAATGAGATGTGCACGTCGTTATGTCGCAAAACGAACTTTACAACTTTGGTGGAGGGTGGGGGGAGGTTTGGGTGGGGGGAGGGGTAGAGTATGGGAAGGGATGGCAAAGGGAAACAAAGAGGAGGCAACAATGCTTGATAAGAAATGTACTCGTTATCTTGCCCATGTAATTGTAACTCCTCTGTACTGTATTCTCACAATAAAAAAAATTGAGCATATCTGTCATTCCAGTTATGTGGGAAGCATTAATAATAAAATTGAGATTCAGATCTGCTTGGGTGTAAATAGGAGGACATATTAAGCACAATGGGCTGAGGATGTTGTTCAAGTAGTATCATATCTGCCTAGCAAGCACAGAGCTGCTTTTAGGGTTTCAAATCCCAGAACTGCTAAAACACACAGACACACATTCAGACACAGACACACACAGACACACACACACACACACAATGACTTACACACAGAGCTGTAAAGATTTTCAAGCTCAGTAATAATTAACAAATACAAATTAAGGTAAAATATGATACCTGTTGTCTAGTAGTCTGCCAAAGATTACTAAGAGCAATAATGTCTAGCTTGTGAATAAAATGATACTCTTGCTTTGGGAAAACAATTACATAGTATGTGCCAAAGTTCTAGAGGCACACACACATTTTTTTTTTTTTGCAAAACTGTACTGGGGTTTGACTTTAATGTCTCATGCTTGCTAAATAGACATTATAATGGTAAGCCACACTTCCAGTCCTTTTTTGCCCTAGTTAATTTTAAGATATGGTTTTATGTTTTTGTCCATTTCCATGTTTCGGCTGAGATCCTTCAGTTTCAGGCTCTCTGCCATAGCTGGGATGACAAACATATACCACCATGCTCAGCATTTTCTTTTGACATGGTATCTTGTGAACTTTTTTGTCTAGGCTGACCTTAAACTTTGGTCCTCTTCATCTCAATCTCCCATGTAGCTGTGATGACAAGTGTGCACCACCAAGCTCAGTAATTGATTGAGAAGGTGGTCTTAGGTGCTTTTTGCCAAAGTTGGCCTTGTACCTTTCTTCTTGATCTCTCCAGTAGCTAGAAATTCAGGCCTGAACTACTGTGACTGGTCAGCACACAGTTTTGAGTCAGTGATTTCTGGAATGTATGCTAGCAGATGTACTTACATAAGTGTATAAAGAGTTTGTATATATTTAAACACATATATGGTTAATCACTACAGTATTATTTGATAATAGAGCAAAATAGAAGTAATATAAAAGTTTGTAAGAAGGGAACTGGTTAAGTACATTTTTGTATAGACACATGAAAATACTTTGTAGTTACTCAAAAGAATAAGGTAGATCTCTCTATACTAATATGACAAATGTCCAAGATGTACTATCAGAGGGAAACAGCTATTCATAGACTCATCAGTTTATATAATTCAATTTTTGCATATGTGAGATAGAGAAATATAACAGATACTGTTATATAAGAAATAAGTTCTTGTGGGGGGAGGGAAGTATAGTTGTGGAGGGGGAGGGAAGGGAGGATAGGGTGAAAACAAAAGAGGAGGTAATAATACTTGATAGGAAATGTACTCATTACCTTGCCCATGAAACTTTAACCCCTCTGTACAGTATTTTTACAATAAAAACATATTAAAAATAAAAAAAGAAAGAAGGTCTTAAAATGATTAAAAGATACTGGTTATCTCCAGAGAGTAAATAAGTGAGTTGGTAGGGTGGATTAACTTCGGAATGCAAGGAGGGGAGCTTTTACTTTTACCCAGAATCTATCCATACTATTTGAATTTTTAAAATTATTAACATTTATTGCTGTTAGAATTCAAAAAGAAAATAATTCATAAAATGTTTAAAATATGACATCAATATTATACTATGGAACATTTTGTTTTATATTTCTTTATTAATTTACTTTATTGTCATTATAGAGGTGAGATAAAGAGGGATTACAATTAGATGAGTCAGGTAATGAGTACATTTCCTTTGGTACAGTGTCTTCTGTACCCTCATTCTCTCCCAGTCCCTCCCTCCTGTCTCCACCCACAAGTTATATAGTTCACTTTCATCGACATCCAGTGAGCTTCACTGCTGTACTTTCTCACCCTTTTTCTCTTTGATACCTGCATCTTGTATATACATTTGTCTAATCTGGGGAGGGGAAAGGGAATAACAAAATGATGAACCAAGGACACAGGATGACCCATTGCAACAAGGATACCCACTGGACAGTATATTGGAAATGAACTTTACAACTATTTACAACTTTACAACTATATCTTTCATCCTAGAAAATCATGAAAAGTACAGAAAGGTTTGAAGTCAGACAACTCTGAGTTCAAATCCTGCCTGTGTTACCCATGCTGTTGATAGGATTAATTGCAACCTATGTAAGAGGCTCAGGAACACTGCTGGCACAAAGTTAAATGGGTATTACCATTGTTATTAGTGCTACCTCAAGAAAAACTATGGTATTCCACTCAAATTCCTTTGCTTTAGGTTACTCTTGCACTTTTCTTCCCTTATAGATTCTTGTCCTTTGTGCCCAAATACTGTTTTGGCAGATTGGTCATGTTAGGATGGTAATAATGACTGGAAGAACATAGGTACTGCAACAAGCAAAGCGCGAACAACTCTAACCTGATATTTTATATCAGTAACAGCATATACATATAACCGTATGTGAGAAAAGTGGATACTGGCTGGGCACTAGTGGCTCATGTCTGTAATCTTAGCTATTCAGGAGGCTAAGATCTAAGGATCCCGGTTCAAAAGCATCCTGGGCAAAACAAACAAACAAACAAACAACCTCTGTGAGGCTCTTATCTCCAGTTAACCCTGCACACCATCGCCCCCCCCCCCAAAAAAAAGCTGAAAGTGGAGCTGTGGCTCAAGTAATGAAGCACTGGACTTGAGAATAAAAAGCTACCTGGGCCCTGAGTTTAATTCCCAGGACTGGCACCAATAAAAAAAAGGAAAAGACAAGAAAAGTGGGTATTATATGAAATAATAGGAATAAACATCCTGTTACAGCACTAAATAAGAAATTTGGGATTACTGAAGGTTTAGGGAGTTGTAATACTGCACACCATCTAATATTTCACTTCTAAAATGGACCACAGGAAAAAAGAACTCATCTCATAAAATTATAGATTCTCACATTCAGTTTGCATAACCATTACTGTGAAAATTATTTCATTGTCAGGTAGAGTTCATACAAGTTGTTCAAAAACATACACTCAAGATTTTATCAGCTTAGAAAGACCCACCACAAAATCCCAAGATAATAGAAGTAATAAAAGAGTTTCTTATCCCCTTTTATTATCTGTTATGATAAAACTCAATGAAAACGTCTAGGATCTTTACCATATGCTTAGGAAATAGAAATGACAACAGAAAGTGACCAGGATGATTCTAATTGGATAGATACTTGATAAATGTATACAAATAACTTAAAGTCTTGTATATTAGGTAGCAGTAGTAACAATTACTTGATTGAAGAATTTCACTGTTGAGATTATATAAACTCCTTGTTGTCCCCAAGGAATGTATTGAATAGCAGTTGAATAATCATTTAGAAAACAATTTTACTGTACTATGTTATATAGTATGTATTATGATTTTAGACAATTATTATGTAAAAAGACCAAGTGTCTCACCTTAGCTGAAAGGAGAAAGTACATTTAACAATATAAGCCATTAAGTTAAACTATATTAAGTTTTAAGGGTACAACTGTTTACATAACAATTTTTTTTCTGAGTGATAAGAACACTGACACTCTCTTACCTGCCAGTGCTCTGGGACTCAGCGTTCGTTCATTGACAGGTGTTGCTACTGGATACACACAGCTGTAATTCATGCAGGTCAACAATGTGTCTACTTGAGATGTTTGAACATCTTCTGGACAAAACATGGGTAGGAATGCAACATCAATTGCTATTTCATGGTTCAGACCTGTTGGAGAAAAACCACACATTACTACAAGTTCAGTAGGTTAATATGGAATCATAAAGGCCAGGTTTGTTTGTTTGATCATAACATGTGCCCAACAGTTTCAGACCTGGAAAAACTGTTTACAAACTGGAGATTGAACTCAGATTTGCAAACAATTTATGAACACATGCCCTTGATCTCTTTTGGAACTTTATTGCAACCCATCACCATGCTAAAACCAATTCAAAATGTTTTCCCTACTGATAGATAATGTCTTACTGTCCACAGGATAGCCTTGTCACAAAAAAAGAAGACATGCACAGTGTTTCCTTGGACATTCCTGACAGATGCCATGATGGGAGTGGAAGGATCAGAGAGGACTATTGGTCCTCCTACTGCCATACTCCAGCAAAGCAAAGAATGGCAGTAACTAAGTCTCATCTGTGTTCAAATACACAACAAATGGTTCCCACATTTACCATTAAGGCTAATAAAAGGCTGCAGGAGAAAAGGGCAAAGAGAGCACAACCAGTGTCCTGACCTTCAGCTGTCGTGTCTTAATGTGCATCAGTATTGGCTAGGATAAATAGCTAAACAGAGGGAGAGCATTTTAGGCATACAGCGGGCAGCATAACCAAAGGTATTGTCCCTAGGAAGGGGGCTGGAGCAAGAGTACAACTTTATTTATTTATTCATTTTTATTGTGAGAATACCATACAGAGGAGTTACAACTACATGGGCAAGATAACGAGTACATTTCTTATCAAGCAACTTTAAAACTGACTTCCACCCGGTTCCCCAATCCAGAAATTCAGGTATTATCCATTTTTGTGGTGTATTTATTCATTGAGATTCAATAGCTTTAATATTTCTTTTTTAAATCCTTTCCTGTGATTCTGAAGTAGTGAGTATGTATGGGCCAGTGATGGGTAAATAAAGTCACTGTTAAGCTGCAAACAGATTCAGAAATACAAGTCCTTTGCTTTTTGTGAGCAAATAACACTAAATCTCATAGCTTCAATTTAACATACAATTAAAGGCTGGTTAAAGCCTTTGAAGACTTACTGATATTTGGGATTCATAAAGTAAAATAACCATGTTATCAGAATTTCCTAGGATTGTAATTCAGTATCATAAAAAGCATAGCTAACCCACAGCTCTCAGCAATGCTGTAAAACCCTTGAATAAGAACATTTTTGGATCTTATTTCTTTGAGTCTGAGACCAAATTTAACTCTATGTGCCATCAATTTAATAACAGCTCTGGTATAAAGCAAACATAGCATTAAATGTACCCATCAACCATACAATACATTCTTACTTGTAAATGTAAAAAATATGCATACCACTTCCACCAATGTAGGAGAATCAATGTACCCAGTGCCATTTATTTAGTTGTACAGATTTATTTTTGTCAGTACTGCAGTTTTGAACTCAGAACTTTATGAATATTAGACAGGTACTCTATTGCTAAGCCACTCCTCTGGCCATATTTTTACAGATTTTTATCCCAATACATTGAATCATTAGAAATCAGAGTGCACATATTTATTAAATAATAGAATGAAAATATACTCCTTTACAGAAATGCTTGGTTAAGATATGACTAATTGTTATAATGATTATATTTAGTAGGAAGCAACTTTCTCAAGGGTATTTTCATTCTTTAAAAAAGAAAAGTGTAATTGAAGATTCAGATTAATTTGTTATTCTGTGCTATATGTACAATAACTTCGTGTGTGTGTGTGTGTGTGTGTGTGTGTGTGTGTGTGTGTGACTTGAACTTTGAAAAAACAGGATGTCTATATCTGAGTGTTGGTTTTCTCTGCAAGAAATATATGTTTAGATTTAGGAGACATAATTTTTAATCATGGTCTGCCTTGTACCTAACCAGAGGGTAAAAATAGAGGATATATAACTTCCTTTAAGCTCTAAAATTGAATGTGAAATCAGAAACAAAACAAAAAAAAGGGAACAACCAAAAGCTCCCTTTTCTGAACCTTCCTGCCAGAAAGTTCAGGGAAAAAAATCACTGCAAAAAATGGTAATGTGCTTATTTGTAAGAACTATTTTTGTGTTCCTTTCAAAATGTGCTTTGATTTTATTCAGAAATGGCTTCTTTTATCAGCTTTTTTTTTAGTCGGTAAACTATTTTTGAGAACAGGTAGGATATAATTCTAACAATGATTAATTACATCTGGTGAATAAAATATGTTTGTGTCTTCACATTTGATTCTTGCTTTCAGCTGATTTACAGCCAAAGTCACAAATGGTTACAATTACATGTAAAGCAGCTGTCTAATCTGTTCCAATGGGTCAGTAAAATGTTAAAATGAAGAAAAAAATCCAATTTCTGTGGTTCTAGTTGAATCCCTTGTTTCCATCCTAATGTTTGTGATATATGGGGAATCTTTTATAATTTTTGTTTCCTCGATATAAAATTAAGATTGATAAACTACCAGAACAGATAAAGTAAATACAGTCTAGTGAGAAACACCTGAAACTTAGGTCTCTAATAATCACTGGAAATTCATACTTCTTAGAGACTTTATATAAACTTTCTTAGATGTGTACACAATTTTTGTGTATGATGAAGTAGAGAAGAATGTGCAAAATAAAAGGGCTAAGGAAAAATTGATAAAACTTTAGGCAGTACAATATACTACCATCAATGGGAAAATCCATGATGTGAAGTCTTTCCAGACATTAAATTAATGTTCTTATAGGTTTTCTTCATTGCTTCATTTTTAAGATAACTAGATCTGGTGCTAAGATCTTCCTATGAAACACAAATAAGAGCCTTGACTTGGGATTGCTTTGGCTAATATTTTAGTTTAGAATTATTCTATGTGCATTTTTCATTTATCACATTTTTTGTGTACGTGTGTGGGTCCTGGGACTTGAACTCGGGGCCTGGAGGCTGTCCTTGAGCTTTTTTTTTTCCCTCAAGGCTAGCACTCTACAAATTGTGCCACAGTTCCATTCCTGGACTTTTGGTGGTTAATTGGAAATAAGAACTTCACATACTTTCCCACTCATACTTGCTGTGAACCACCACCCTCATTTGCTAAGTTTACAGGGGTGAGCCACTGGTGACTGGCTTTTAAATGTTTTTGTTTGTTTGTTTGGTCGGTTGTGGGGGCTGAACCCTGGGCCTGGATGCTGTCCCTCAGCTCTTCACTCAAGGCTAGTGCCTTACCAATTGAGCCACAGCGCCACTTCCAGCTTTTTTCTGGTTATGTGGTACTGAGGAATCAAACCCAGGGCCTCATGCATGCCAGGCAAGCTCTCTACCACTGAATCAACTTCCCAGCCCCTTTTAAATGTTTTTTTTTTAAATTTCTTTACATTTCCATGACTACTAGAGTGACCTCTTCAGCTTTTGTTTTACGAGGTTATATTAGTTATTACATCCCCACATATTCCACTGCATTCCGATATATCCCTACTTCTTAGTTTGGGGTAACCCGAGAAAATCAGCTTATTCTATTAGAAAACAAGTTTGGTTTTCTCTATAACTCTGTTCTGTTCAACCTGATCTTCATGAGAATTTTATTTTTGGGGGGTCTAAACAGATGCCTTTTCTTGATAGGTCCCCTCTTTAATCTTTCTTTTTTGCCAGTCCTGGGGCTTGAACTCAGGGCCTGGACACTGTCCCTGAGCTTCCTTTTGCTCAAGGCTAGTGCTCTACCACTTGAGCCACAAGGCCATTTCTGGCCTTTTCTGTTTATGTGGTACTGAGCAATCGAACCCAGGACTTCATGCATGCTAGGCAAGCACTGTACCACTGAGCCACATTCCCAGCCCCCCTCTTTAATCTTTAAGTTACCCTGTCATCCTTCAGTGGTTTGGAATGTACTGGGAAAGAAGTAGAATATGATTACAAAGTCCTTTCAGTTCTCGATCTTTTTTTTTTTTGTCAAATAACTTGGACTCATCAATGTTGAAAAACCCTTAATCATAGCTTCATTTATTTGAGAATAAATGCTCTATTCCTTTTAATTTGAGGCCAACAGAAGTTCCCTTTGCACTTAATGGACATGGATATGTGTGTGGGGGTGGGTGGAGAGTGTCTTAATTGTTAAAGCAAAACTATCTACATTTAAACTAGCTTAAATTAATAGAATACAAAGAGGAGAACAGCTGACTTACCTAGGATGGTTACTTCAAAATGTCCAAGGCTGCGGGCACTCTTAAATTCCTGAAGTTTTGGAGGCTTTCCTTCTGGTGGTATGTACTTGGAAGGCTGAGAATTATACTGCTGAGTAAGAAACTTTTTGTGTTCTAAAATGAATTTCCGTGGAATACTTTCTGGGTAAACACAGCTGTACTTCAAGTGGTCTTTTAAGCTAGGCCTTTTCTCTTTCAACAGCTGACTCTCCCACCTATCCTTGATGAATCTGATATTTCCTGTGGTATCAGTATTGGTACTTCTTGGGCCTGGGAAAGACACAATGAGACAGGCACAATGGAGGGATAAAGCTAGTCACTGTTCAAAACAAGTACATCTTGATGAGTACTAGTTAAGAAACTTTATAGATCAAAGCTGGGCACTGGTGGCTCATGCTTGTAATCCTAGCTACTCAGGAGGCTGAGATCTGAGGATCAAGGTTCAAACCCAGCCTAGGCAGGAAAGTCCGTGAGACTCTCATCTCCAATTAACCACCAGAAAACTACAAGTGGCACTCTGTCTCAAGTAGTAGAGCACTTGCCTTGAGCTGAAGAGCAATTCACTTTCCTAATATTATTTTTTAGTCAATTACTGTTATTGTTTTCTCTTGGAATTACAGAGATTTATAGTATCTTCTTTATGCTTTTTCTGGTTTTGCAAATGCTCTTAAATAAATATTCCTTTTCTATTTGGTGATAAAGTCAAGGCAAACTTAAATTCAGGATAATGGTACACTCTGGAGATCACTCATTACTGGTGAAATTGAGCTTAAAATAAAATTATGTTAATTTCTGTTAAAAGTAGCAATAAAAAGATTATTTTTCATGGATAGTTCTTTCCTTCAAAAAAGTCCAGAATTCAAGCCCCACAAGCAACAAAAATCAGTTATTTTGATAGGACATTCCTTTCATATAAATAACACATGGAAAACAAAGAGGAAAATAAATTGAGATGAAAGACCTCCTCAATTCTTTCTTTTTTTTTGGTAGTGCTAGGGATTGAACTCAGGGCCTTGTATTTGCTAGCAAGCACTCTACCACTTGAATCTTGCCCCCCCCCAGTACTTTTGCATCTGGGGTTTTTTAAGTGGGTCTCACACTTGGCCTTAGACTATGATCCTTCTGCATCTACTTACCAATTAGCTGGCATTACAGTTGTATACTACTATGCCTCTCTTGTTTGTGAGATAGTGTCTCACTACCTTTTGCTCAGGGTTGGTTTCATAGGTGACCTTCCTATCTCTCTCCTAAGTAGTTGCAATTACAGGTTTGTAACACTCACCCAGCCCTCTCCTCAACTCTTGATTATTCTCTATCATTAAATCAATTTGTCATATATGCACAATGAATCCAATTCAAAACAAATGCAATGCTTGTATCTTTATTATAGCAAAATATCATATTATGAACCCTATCAGGAATAGTTAAAATTTTTTCTCTTTATATTTTTTTACTTGGTTGTTAATATTAAAGATTATCCAGGTATAAAATCTCTAAAATTGTGCATTAATTTTATTTCAGTTACTTGGGGTTATAATTACTCATTTCAATTAAATATTCTTAATTTTCATAATTAATGAGTACAAATGAAATAAGTGTGAAATCAATTCGGGAGACATAGTTACTGGTAGTGAATAGCAACATTTCAAAAGGATAGTAGGAAAGTGACAAAATATATTTAGAGTTCACGTTTTCATAAAGAATGAAAAATTACAAAGTAGAGGTATTGTTTTAGCTTGAATAGTACTAAATGAAACAGGTGTTTTAAAGCTAAAGCACAGCAAAATTATATTTTTGTATTTTATAATTATAATGATTACTTATTTCACTTGAACATTTTATCCTTATTTCTACTGACTGTGTTTTAAAAAGAAAAGATTTAAGTAGCTGACTACATTTAGACTGTGATGAAAGAAAGGACACAGTACAAATGTTCATAAATAGTCATGGTGATTATTTCCTTTACAAAGAGATATTTTGAGCATTTTATGTATGTTTTAGAGAGGTAGGTAAGGGTGTACAGAGGCATGGGGCAAGGGGAAGAGCTATTACTTGCTCACAGCTTTCCCCTTCCCCTTCTGTGATCCCAGGTGCTACAAGAGCTACAAGGCCCCAAGAGCACAGAGGACTTCATTTAGCGATAAGGTCTATGCTTGGGGCAGCATATAATAGGCTTTTCAAAGGATTGCAAAAGTCAAAGGTACAGGTGATCTTGTGATGTCTTGTGCTCGTGGTTGTAATGTTCTTGTTTATTAACTTTTCAAATGTATATCTTATCAAATTATGTGAGTCACTAGATATGAAGATAAGACTAAACTTTGCAGATTTCAAAATACCTAGCACAAACCAAGTATTTGCTAAAGTGTTGGCAAAATAAATGACTTGAATTTACATAGAAAATGCAAAGCTATTTTGAAACATATTTTAGGCTATGTTATAATTAGGTCGGCATACATGTAATTCACTACCACTGCAAAATAACATACTAGTATATGAATATTATATACGTGTATGTATTTTTTTTTGGTTCTGGGGCTTGAACTCAGGGCCAGGGTGCTATCCCTGAGCTTCTTTTGCTCAAGGATTGTGCTCTACCACTGCAGCCACAGCTCCACTCCCAGCTTTTTGGTAGTTTATTGGGGATAAAAGTCTTAGGGACTTTCCTACTTGGGCTGGCTTTGGACGTTGATCTTCAGACCTAAAGCCTCTTGAGTAGCTAGGATTACAGGTGTGAACCACCAAACATGCTATAGTTTCCTTACATATTCCATGTTAATTTTTAGTATTTACTTTTCTCTATTATAAACAATATTTTAAGAAACATCTTAGAACATATTTCCTTGTGTGACTAATATGTAGTTAGAATTCCTAGATGGCATGATATATAATGCATTATAAAACAAATTAAGTGTTGCCAACTTGCTTTCAAGGGAGAGTTGTAGTACATTTATCTAAGAAAGGGAAAGCATGAACATGAATATGTTTATATTATAAAAACAAACAATGGAAAGATACACCATTGAATGAATTAAAGTTCCATGGTGAGAGTGACTATTATGAATGAAATAACATGTGGGAGACAAGGACTGAACTTTCAATGAGTATCCTATGTCATATTCATATATAGACAATATATTTCCATAGTAATCATCCTCCATCATCTCTTTCCCTCTCTTCCTTCCCCCTTATTCTTCAAACAGGCCAACAGTTTCAAGTGTGTTGTGTGTATGTGTGTTCCAGATACTGCAAATTAAAAACATACAGTATTTGTCTTTATGAGTTCAGCTTATTTTACTCAACATAATGAGCTCGTTAACTTTCCTAAAAATGACATGATTTCATTTTTTGAAGGCTGAGAAATATTGTATGGCATATGTGTGCCATCTTTTCTTTATACCTTGGTTGTGAGGAACCTTGGCTGATTCCACAGCTTGCTTATTGGGAACAAGGCTTCATCAAAACATGGGTATACAGCTATCTCTCTCTATTGATTCACATTCTCAGAGTAGACTGGTAGAGTCATAAGGTGATCTATTGATATTATTTTTGAGGAATCTCAATCTCCATACTGATTTCCATATGGTTACACTAGTTAGGTTCCCATCAACAGTGTGTAAGGGCTCCATCTTCCCCAAGTCTTCCTCAGCATTTGTTGTTGTTGTTTTTTTCTTGATGACTATAATTCTGACTTCTGTGTGATAAAATCTCAGTGTAGGGGGAATGAGGAGAGGGCAATAGGGGAGGTTAAGCTGACTAAATTATAATATATGCATATGTAAAATACCACAGTGAAATCCCTTTGTATAATGTATATATAGCAAAAAATGAAAAATTGAATGGCAGAAAAGTAATACAAGATCTCTTGGAGGGCAGAACTGGCAGAATGGGGGAAGGTCTACAGAGTCAGTACATGCAGATGAATATGATCAAAGTACTTTATACAGGTGTATCAAAAAAGATCAATGATATCTATGGAAAATTTTTAGCAAGAGGAGGAGGGGGTGAGAGAGATGATGGGGTAAGATTTATTGGACTACCTTATACAACTAATATATTCTAATAAAAAAATCTTTAAAACTCTTCTGAGCTAATAAATTCAGAAAATGTAAATGTAAGGAAAGAAAAAAATAGTAGCCAATGTATCAACTTCGGTATATTTGACTTGGAACTATATGAAAGATGATATGAAAGATAAGCTGAGACCCCGTAGCTCATGCTTATAATCCTAGCTACTCAGGAGGCTGAGATCTGAGAAACACGTTTCAAAGCCAGACTGGGCAGGAAAGCCCATGAGAACCTTATCTCCAATTAACTACCAAAAAAATCTGGGCATGGAACTGGAGTCAAGTGCAGAGCACTAACCTTGAGCACAAAAGCTCAGGAACACCACTCAGGCCCCGAGTTCAAACTCCAGGACCAGCAAAAAAAAGTGAATGTAAAATATTATATGCACACATGAAAATGTCCTGATCAAAGTTATTGCCAATAACACAAATAAATAAAAAGTAGCCAAATTTTAAAACACAAATCAAACATTTAAAGAAAGCACCACCTATCATTTGAAATAAAAGAAGTAAACCCAAATATCAACTTGATAGTGGAACCATAAAAGATTATTGCCAGTAACTTTATATAGTAACTTGACTTCATAGGTCTAATGGGGCTATACTTGAAGGGATAAAGATCTTCAAAACAAACAAAAACCTGAAAATGATTATTCTGTGTCTATTTTTATATGGGGTGGGTTATATGGTTTAGACGTAAAGTGTATCTTCACTTTAAAATAAAAAGAGTTGCTAGATTTAGTCACTGAAAGGTGATTGGTCTTAAGGGCCCTTACTTAAATGGATTTACTTAGCTGGCAAATTCTTAACTGATAGTATTATTGGGAAGTAATAACAAAAAGGAGGTGGAGCCTCATTAGAGGAAGAAAGACACTGGAGGGAATGCCTGGGTCCCTGATTCTCTTATTGTTTCTGCTTCATGGCTATCATGAGGTCAGCAGCCTTATCATGCCCTTTCCACCATGATGTTGTGCCTTGCTTCAAGACTAAAAGCAATGGAACCAGCTAGTCATTGACTTAAATCTCTGAATATGTGATTTAAAATAATATCTTCCTCTTTTTACTTATTTTGTTATAGTGACAAAATGACTAATACAATGGGTAATGCAAATTAGTTAGTATGTAATACTCTGACACCCTTAGGGTTTTTCTGAGCCAGGATTTTTGAATAGAAAAAAAATCCTCTTCCATTTTATTCTAAGTGAA